AACACTGGACATATGATGGATTTGATAGCTAGTGGCCAGCCATAAACTGGCGAGATAAAAGCCTTCCTGTCACTATCAAAGGACAGGGAATAACGTTATATATGTACAGGAGCACCTCGGCCATAACTTAGCGGGATTAGTGAAACCCGAACGAGCGTCACCTCCACCACTAAACCTGTTTGCATTAAGTGACCAAATTGCTACCACGGACAATACGTGGACAGCGATGGACAATGCAGGACGCTCTTCGATGGCCTTTAACGGGGGTGGGGTCACTGGACAACCGACTCGGGGGGACGATAATTCGGGGGTAGTGTTGGATCTCAAGCAGCTTGCAGAATGATGCAGCGATTCCTATGGGAAATGTTGAGATAGACAATAGGACGCCAGTAATGATCCGTGTCAGTGTGTGTCCACCAAGATTATACAGCTTTATATCTGCTCGAACACATCCTCGCCAACAGGTGCTAGTTTCTGTATACTGCACATCTGCTGGACACAGTGTGGGAACGTGTCTATATGTACATACTGACCAGCTGCTGACCTGGGAATAGCCACACGCACGTGCAGGCTGAGCTCAGCCCCCAAAGGGGTTATACAAACTTGCGAAGGGAAAAATTCAAAATAACATCACAAGAAAGGCACCCTTCAATTTGAAAACAGAAGCCTTGTTGTTGGGTGGATTCGGCTTATGTTGCCCCGATCAGTATGGGGTTTGGGGGTGTTATATATGGGTGGAGGGTTTGGGTGAGATTAGGGGTTGAATGAAAAAAAAGGGGGGAGGGGTCGCCAAAATTTATCACAATTATAGGTGGAGGCGTGAGAAAAATGACCCAGCAATATTTTTTCACGTAATTTATTTTATGAAATTGAACATTATTTAAGAAGGCGACTAACGGGATCGGGTTGATGCATGTCTTCGTATCCCAATTGTGTAGATCAATGTTCATGATGTCAATAACTGAATTGCCTCGTCCAAAATCCAAACAAACAAACACTATCGCAACGATTGTAGTATTAAAGCTGAAAATATTTTTTATGGGGTTACTTTAGTTCATTTCCGGTGAATATCTGTTAGTGATCGATTAAACGTTTTGTTTTAATTTTGAACTGCACTTGTTTACTGATGTGTTTATATTAACATAACACATGTCGGAACACATAGCACAGCTATTTATAAAGAAATACATTTAGAAGTAATCATTGGGACCTATTTGTTCCGTAGGCTGTGCATCCAACCGGATACTTTCAAGCTGGAGGACGCACCGATGTACTTTTGATCTATGTTTAAGTCTTTCTGCTACTTTAATGAATATGTTTATTTCCGTCATTAAAAGTCGGTATTACTCTTAACTGTTGTTTTTAATTAATCAACTCTAACAAAACACAAGCTGTTACAATGAACGCATGGTAAATCAGAAAAGCAATTATCTTCTTCGACATTTTATGTGAAAACTCTACCTAATAAACGGTAAACGATGTCTTTGAGGCAATGCCATCGAGACCAATACACTTCGCTTACCACGCCAGTTCATTGGAGCACGGAAGATGCACGAGCTTTTATTGGCTGCCAACGGTCATCTAAGTAGATATGGGCGTGGCCTATCGTAATTCGTCCAATGGGAAACGTTTTTGTAGTGGCGAGCAAGGTCAGGTCGTGGGTACAGTGTGTTATGGGACATTGAATACATGAAGGTCAAATCGGCAATTTCTACATTCTAGACCTCGGATATTTGTTTTGACCAGATGTGGTCCAGACGAGGTATATAAACAAGAATGCCGGAAAGGAGAGCTCCAGTTGTAAAGGGCGGACACTGGACACCTTCTGTCCATAGATTTATCACCTATTTACGAAAATTGTCGAGGTCTAACCTTTCACAAAATTCCACTCTTTTTATTGCCTAACTTCAAATAGATCTGCGGTTCTTTAGGAAATTTTCTTTTACGTTTAAGTACGTCTTTGTTTTCGGCAACGAAAGTTGTTTACACGAAATGAAATGAAAAGAAGCAAAAAGAATATTATGCAGAAGAAAGAAGAAGAATGGGTTTACTTTCGTGTCAATTTTATATTATAAAGACGAGTTTCCGGGTCTCTTCAGCTAACCACTACTGTAGGTAAAAGTGTAATTTCAACTCGGAACAGAGCGTCATGTTATACATGACGACTCAAGGAGGTGATATTAATATTTATATACCCATATATTGTATTCCGGGAGTAAAGCTCCATTAGGAAAGGTCCTACAAATGTTTATTGTCAGCACTTTCGAGTATCGTAAAATACTAAAAAGGCCACAACACATATATAATTTATTCATCTGAAAAAGTAGGAATCATTAAAATGTTGAATTGTTGTGTTGATGACAAACGGTTTCTTGCTGCTCATTAAACATTTACTGGTTTAAATGTTAACATGGGAAACCTAGACTGTGAAGTAATGAAACATTTTAAAATTCAAATAAGTGTATTTGTAACCGCTTCTCTGATGCAGTCAAAATGATTTTGTGTCTCGTGGTGCAGATAAGTAGAGATGTGTATTGCCCATTATCACATGGGAATTGGCACTATGAGATACGGCTAAGAAGCAATTAAAATACTTAAATACGATGGAAACAATCAAGAGCTTTAAGCACGTATCTCATAGGTCAAATCTTATTTACCTTGACGTCTTTATAGCATATGACACATGAATAAACAAACATCCCATAGAAAGCCTCGTTCCCGCAATATGATAGGTCAGGGTTATTAATTTGTTTTCGGATCCACTTAGACACGATTTTACAAATGTGAAATAACATAAGATTTTTAGAAACAGTTTTAAGTAATTACACAGCAAAAGTAGATCCATGTGGATAAGGAACCTTAATTCTTTTCACCTTTGCGATCATGCTGTTAAGATAAAAAAAAATTATTGAAACTTGCAAAAAGACCTTAATTTCGTTCCACACAGAAGACATAGAGATTTTCTGCTCAAGTGTGGTCCCTGAAGCTAAATCGTCATGCACTCAACACAGATTCCAATATACCATTCTTATCGAAGAACCGACTTATGTGTGTTTGCTGTTTAACCGCACTAAGCAATATTCCAGCCATATGACGGGGGTCTGTAAATAATCGATTCCGGATCAGACAATCCAGTGATTGATATGATGAGCAACACACCATCGGGTTACATTGACAGGTCATCAACCAAGTCACCGAGCCTGAAGTCACCCCCAGCATAGGTTGTTAGGGGGAGGGGTAAACACAGACTCTCCACGGTTGAGGTAACCAATAAGGTGTTTACAATGTATGCCTGGCTGATTGTGTGTCATCGTACTCAGACAGCGCGCTCATTCTATCAACCACTGGTTTGGTGTGACAGACACGGTTATTTACTGGCCACCCTTATCACCGTGGTATAGATAAAATACTGACTGCATTGAAAAAAAATATTCACTCACTCCCAGTGATATGACCGTAATAAGTGTAGCAACAGCGTAAAGACGCATGCGTTTGAATTACGTTTACAATTGCATTTGGTATCCAATCTGTATGAGCGAGGAAGTGGATGTTATTTTACGTCGCATACAGCAATCTTTGTATAATTTAAGTGTAAACGTAAATACCTTCACATAAAACATATATCATGACTTCAGGTATGTCTGCCACCGGGTGTTCTTCAAACCATCGCGTTGTTCACTAGAACACTGTGGTGATATAGAAGATATATATGTAAACATTGTTCTTCCCGGCACATAGACCGTTTCTACAACTGAAATAGCGTTATCATTATTCATTTTTTTCATTCACAGCTCGATTCATGTTGCCTAAAGAAAGTTTGTTTTTTAACTGATACCGGAGTTAAATTGTATAAAGAATATTAATACATGACAATTGTCTACAGATAACAACTTATTTATTCTTTGTAACGGTGTTACATTGCCAGTGGAAAAAAAAGAAGTTATCACCCATGGAAAAGCGTGATGTTTTCATGTTCTACCAACTTATAAATGCCTATAAAAGATTTAATTAAAATATGAATTAATATAAATATATGTGAGTTGGTCATAGAAGAATCACTTGCAATAACCCGTTCTGTGTCTATTTTTCATGTAATATTATATCTAACTCATTTTATACTTCATAGATAATATTCATGTGTTCATAAATGATGCTGTTATTCAGACAAAACATCATTTTCGTCATTTCTGAAACTTCCTAGCTGTAACATGTTAGAACTATCATATCTCGAAGACATAGATAGCCTTGAAGCAGAGGAATTCCGTGCCATGTTAATTCAAACCGACACCATGGATGGTGTTTGTCGTATAGTATGAGTACACACCATGGTAATATTATAATTATACGGTAATCTTCACATCTGCTGGTCGATTTCACCTCCCAGTGACAGCGTCTATAGCATGGTCACGTGAGTTCATTGTTGAGCCTTAGAGACATTTTTGAAATTGAAATTCTGAAGTAGTGATTTAAACGCAATATGACCACGAATCACCATTGACGCCGAGTTCTTTGTTTATGTCGTTCAGAAGGCAGTTTGATGAATTTCGGTTGGAGGCGCCGAGGGCTGAGTTACTCAACAATATGCAGGTGTTGTCTGGGATCAGGCTAGTGTACATCGGTATCACAGACCCCATAGTGCAAAAATACACTCCAAAAATCCGATACAGTTTCCTTTAATTGCGTTTTAATATTGCTACCGTACACCGATAATTGTAGCTGAGGGTGGAGTAGCCCTCCATTGCCCATCAATGTCGTAACAGCGTCCCTACCCCACCCCACCCCCTCGACCCCAATCAACCCCACCCTCCCGCTGCTTCATAGTGACCCCATTCCGCTACTACTACCAGGCGCACTTTAGACCGAGTCCCATAAACTATGTTTTCCAAGTACTAAATGAATGGCTTCTGAAGCTATATTACGCCTTTCAATCGTGAATCGGGTGGGCCCGGCTATTTTCACAGGCGATCGAATGACCTTAAGGATGTGTCAACAGACCCCGGATGAAAGCCAGTGTCTCAGGAACAGCCCTCCGGCCCTCGACTTACAATATCTATTCACGTCTGTACACCTTCTCAAATATTCTCCCCGTGAAAAGTGTTCCCCTTAGCCAACATTTGCAGTGTCGCAACAATGGCGTCATCGAAGCATTACAAGGTAGTCCCACCTGGCCCACGCCCCCTACCCCGGGGAGATGTCTGGCTGACCCAACCTCACCCCGGCCCCCCGGCTTGCAGGGGACAAGGTCAACTCGGGCCGAGCGTGGGTCTGCTGTTTTGACGGTGATTCTGTCCCCCTCAGACGCTAATCACAGTCTGCCTCGGCTCCACACACACGACATAATAGCAAGGTCAGAGGTCACCAGGTGGTCCCTTTCCTTACGTCACGAAGGACAAGTTTACGTCCCCCGGATGAAAGGGCGGATGGCAGGCTTTGTGCAGGGAGAGCATGGTCATGAATTAGCCACGGGTTGGCCCCAGTACAGCTTTCTTTGAACAAGGGTGGTTGAGGATTATATCAACACCTAATGGTGTTGCAGGATCTGAATAGTGCTAAACGCAACCTACCGCAAATGCCTCGGGCTGAGCATCTCCTAACCTCTGTTCAATCCATGGTTGTAATTCGTTCGGCCCTTGTCTGTCGACTTCGGCAGACTTCGGTAAACCTCGGCCAATGTCCGACATGTGGCCAGTCTTTGGCTCCGGCTGCCATTTCTAGACAGTAATCTCAGGAACAATGCGGCTTCAACCCGCCCTTACAGCATCACAAGCTTTAACTTCTCAACTTACCTGGCATAATGGGTTTGTTGGGTTGTTCTTTATGTCTTACGTTCGGGTTTAAGATTTCAATTACATTTCTTTCAAGAATCACATATGGTCATCGAGGTTTGGCGCCAAGACAAAGAACTCTACAAGAAAGAAGCATTACCCCGGGAATGGTAGAAAATGGAGAGAGATTTCTCTCCTATGTCATTACTACTATTGTTGTATCTATAATTAGGTCAACCCTCAGCATCATGATTGATAGTCGACACAGCCATTGTATGTTGTAAGTCTTTATTGTTGAAAACAGCCATGTTCACTTAAACGAGGGCTAGTATTTGAGTCAGTAATACAAATCCTCAGCTTTATACATTTTTATAACCAGACCTTTGTTATATTCACTAAAGACAATATACACCACCGCAGAGGATATCAACAATTTCAAGTTGATGAATAATGTATATTCCTTTCAACCATTTGTTTTAATATGCGTCTATTGAGTATCTGTCCCTTCACTGTTGTTTGTGTCAAAAGCAATATATTTTCGAATGATTTCTAGGAATAGTACCTGTATAAATATTTCACAGACTTTAAAGATTATGCATTTATGAAATTGTATAACATTTGGCCTGACAAGCGCTGCCCTATCGATGTAGTTTGGAAAGAGCCAGCATCGAGAAACATTATTGAAAGAATTATGGTACTGTCAGATTGGCATTGGTTTATTCTGGCGCTGAAGTCAAGAAGTACGTACGCCACAAGATGAACTGTTGGTGTTTGGAATCTCGCAGCGCCGTATTAGGTACAAGGTATCAAATAAGACGGATTCCAGTCCCAGCTAATGGTTGGGAATTATAGTTAGGCTTGGTGTAATTATTAATAATATTAAGTGCATTTATAATGCGCCAGATTCCATTCACCAAGTGGATGCTCATAGCGCTACACTATTATTACCCCGGTCAATGGATCAGTGAGCACTCGAATTTCATTCTCAGCTCCCTGGGGAGTATACAACCCAAGCTGCCTGTGAGGCGCTAGAAGGTTAACAGCCCCATTACCATCTCATACTACCGGGTACCCACTCACTGCTGGGTGAACAGAAGCACATTTCGAACAAAGTCACTTGCCCAAGGAGACACCACATGTGCTACATGTGCTTCAGTGTGGAGCAGGACCGAAACCCTAGAAACTCTCAGGAGCCAAGCTGCGGAACCATTGCAACCATTCTTTGACTGGGTAGCGCACTGTAAGCCTACGTTTCATTACAGGCGCTAGATTCTCTGTTTGTGGCGACCAAAAAGGAGATCGGGTGGTCACAATGGCTGTATGAACTGTACTTGGATTTCGACCGTAAGAGAAGATTCATAGTAGGTTATGTCCTGGGTGCCGTTGTACAAAGCGATCTTAGTGCTATGGTGACCGTAGCTCCAATACCTCAACATTCCCATTCTTTAACATAGACCTACGATAGTCGTAGCGCTAAGATCGCTTAGTGGAACAAGGCCCAGGAATGTGTGTCTTCGTTCACCCTCTGCATGGATCTTTGCTCTCACTGCTGACCACTGGTCTGCCGGGTACAGGACAGTGATACGGTCGGACTATTGCTGTAATTGTATTTAGTCCAAGAGAATTGAAACCAATATTATAGAGCGGGCGTACGATACCATAGCAAGGGACACAGCTATACTGAGAGGTGATCTTATGTGGTGATCTGCTTAGTGGTTTGAGATTTCACTATATGATACCAATGTAGCCTATTATACTACACGCGCGTGACACTACAATAGGACTATATTCATATTGCTCAAAATGGCGGGCGGTGGGTAGCCTTGTGGTTAAAGTGTTCGCTCGTCACGCCGATAACCCGGGTTCAATTCCACATGGGTACAATGTGTGAAGCCCATTTCTGGTGTCCCCCACCATGATATTGCTGGAATATTTCTAAAAGCGGCGTAAAACCATACTCACTCTTTATTCTGTCACCCGGGTTAGTTCCCCACATGGGTACAATGTGTGAAGCCCATTTCTGGTGTCCCCCACCATGATATTGCAGGAATATTTCTAAAAGCGGCGTAAAACCACACTCACTCACTCAAAATGTCCGGAATCATAGTCAACGGCAAAATGATTGCCCGTCACAAAAGATCCATTGGCATAAAAACCATCGATGTTGTTTTTGATTTCACAAATCGGACCCATGTCCCAACTACAAAAGTAATAAGGTAGAAAAAAATTAAAACTGAGAATGCCCCTCCCCATCCCGACCCCCCACCCCCTTCCCCTCTTTAGGCACCTGCAATCACTACCCTCCCTGTTATGCTTCATTACAGTTGACCCTTGTTTGGTAGACTCTGTGTCGTAAAGCGATCGTTAGACTAACATCTAGTCGTACAGAAAAAATAGTTGTTAAATTATCTTAATAAAAAATTAATAAAAAGGTGCCCAGAGACTCTCTGCCTGATACTGCAGAAGACTAGACTTGCCAAACATTATAGACTTGCATGGACTGTATTTGACATACTTGTATCAGGATATGTAAGACAGACTAAGCGATCGTTGTACTACGACTCTCGTAACTCCCATTGTTTAACAGAAAGAAGAATTGTGTCACATGTTATATGTACAGTATGGAACGATTAAAATAACTATACGATAAACAACATCAGGCCATTAGTCCCACGAGACACATTCAAACCCATTTAATAAAATATAAGTAAAAGTTGACACGATCAAACATAACATTGATGCACACGCCAAGGGAGGTATGACTGCAGCACCGCGACGACGGCGTATCGCTACGACTGCTTCGTGAAATGGGCATTTTCACAAAGCGATCGTAGCGCTTGGACTTTTGCAAGTCTATGTTAAAACATAGGCGTTACGGTAATCGCAGTGTTAGGATAGCTTATGAAATGTGTCCCAGTGGCGTTTCATACTTGCTTCGTGAAGATCATTCCGACGACAATCACACTTACGATGGCGTTCAAATGTTTGGGTGATTGATTATCGATGTGCGAGTTAGTGACCGAGGGACTCCGCTCACGCACACACTTACTGACTGCACTGTATACTTCTATTCAACAATTCCATAAATTATCGTCAAATCATAATGCCCCATGTAACAGTTGGCAGAGATGCCGGTCAGCTGATATTGTCTTCATCAACAGCTGTAGACGATAGAGCGTGCAGCAGCATTCCCTGGTTCTGTAACCCGGCCAGTGACCCACATTACAGAGTGGGACTTCGGCTTTGACACAGAGCAGTTCCATGCAATTAAAATTATAATGATGAAAAGATGGATAAAAAAAATGAATTAAACCATGGATTGAAAGGTTAATGGGTACCTCATATAAAGTCAATGAATGAATGAACAAACAAACAAACAAACAAACAAACAAACAAATAATAACTAAACAAACAAACAAACAAATAAATAAATAAATAAATAAATAAATAAATAAAATAAATAAATGATTCTATTGAACTGCCAATGTATGCGTCTTTCAACAGCATAATTGAAAAAATTATTATACATGTAGATTTGACAGCCAAACAGCTGTAATATATCGACGCTAATTAGCATATTACAGTGTTGCAAATATCCGTGCACGTACTGGCCCTTACGCTCAGCTGTTCGTTCCGTCACATTGCTCCCTTCCCCCGCGATCTTCTCTTCTCCTTTCTCCTTGGCAGGGAACATACGCCGCCCGTAAAGACGTAATGGGGCATGGAATTGCCACCCACTGACCGCTGGCCAGCCGAGGACACGCTGTACGAGCAGTTCATATGAGGACGCGGGCTCACCTCGACGGACAGTGAAGTCCTGCGTGGCTGATAGGGCATGTAAGGTCATGAAAGCCCTCGCTGCCAGAAGGCCGCACCGCACACTTTCGCCTCCATGGACGACAGTGAATCCCATTAGTTAAAGCGTTGGTGCATCACTCCAAACATTCGGGTGGGGTTCAGGATATTTCGTATTTTGGTGCTCCGCGTCGGTACGGGCTGATAAATGATAAAATCCCTGTCCATTTATCTCAAGAAAGTACAATTTGGTATTGCAGCCCAAACCTACATGTTATCTTAAACGTTGAAATTCGTTACTCTTAGACAAACATTAAGGCTCTGAAATGAAAATATTTTAAGATATTTTGCGGTTAATTGTTTTTTTTAATTAAGAATTGACTTCAATACTTTTTTGCGTTTATGGAGCCGGTGTGCAAACTGTAAATCAGCATATAGCTCCACATTGAAGTAAATTCTTTTCAATACGTGTATCAGCAATAAGTTTGTTTGTTTGTTTGTTTCTTGTTTAACGCCGCACTCAGCAATATTCCAGCTATATGACAGCGGTCTGTGAATAATCGAGTCTGGACCAGACAATCCAGTTATTTACATCATGAGCATCGATCCACGCATTTGAGATACTATGACATGCATCAACCAAGTCAGCGAGCCTGACCACCCGATCCCGTTAGTCGCCTCTTACGACAAGCATAGTCGCCTTTTACGGCAAGCATGGGTTGCTGAAGACTTATTCTCTACCCGGATCTTCACAGGTCCATTATCTAGTATTACAGTATAGAACCAA